GAGATGTATTAGATTAATACCAAAATGACCTCTGAGATTTTCTGTCCATTAAGTGATCTGAATGTCAGTGAATGATTAATTCTGACTCTATGCTAAGATTTCTCTCCCTTGATCATTTCTACAGATCCTTGTTATGGGATGTATACCACATGTTCTAAAATATCCTATAACATTAATTCTTCGAATTGTCTTCAAAATTTTTGTTTAATGGTTTTACCCTGCTGACTATTTTCAGAGGATTAAGGCTTAATCTTTGCTTTTTCAAAATGTAGCTTTATATATTCTGTACTAGATTCAGAAATTAAATTTTATCCATAAAAGTGCTGGGATTATTCGTACCAAATAGTCCATCATCTCTTGTGATGGTTCATTATCAATTTCACCAACAGAAACAGAGGCAGGAAGTTCTCCGTTCTACTAGGACAGATAATACCAAAGAATACAGTACTCTTTTGACACTTCAGAGCATGAATCTTGCATTTTAAATAGAATTAAGATTCTTATTTTATTCATCAATAAAACTATCCATTCATTCAAACTATAAGGCTTTATGATAAAGGTTTTAGGACTGTTAGGGTGAAAGGCAAGAGCACATCAAACTTTAAAGAGGCAAACAAGTTTGATTTTTACGGAAGTCGGAAAAGAATCTTATTGTCTCTGAATAAACACTAATTCATAAGCCAATACTGGTCATCTCTAATTCCAAGTAGTTATGTAATAGGTTGTAGTTAGGGATCATACCAGGTAAAATGTTAGAAAGTATGTGTCGTATATTACTATAAATTTAAGAGTGAAGTGTATGCATATAAAGTCTAAGTGTCACTGTAATTTCTTCAAAACAGATTTTTTATGTTACATTTTGAGGAGTAATTTTCTAGCACTTAGACAAAATTCAGAAGGAAATATTAAATTCTTAAAATTTTGTTGTTTTTAAAATGACTGAACCAAGCATTAGAAATGACAAAAAAAAAAAAAAAAAAAAAGCAAGGCATCCAGAACATAAAAAAGATGGAAAAAATAAAATTAAGTGTTATCACAGACCTACTTGTTACCTGATTTTTTGGCTTGGTCAATGTCAGATGATAGAATATAAGAATAGACAGCATTTTTACCTCTGAATAAATATTCCAAACAGTAGAAAGACAAAAAAAAAATGCTCTTTCCCTCATTTTCACTAAAACCAATTTTTCTGTATGTAACTTGCTCTTTTTTCCCTAGCTCAGTCATCTCACTTTCCAACTTACCTCGAAATAAGAAGAAAATGGAAAGATTTGTATTTTTCTCCACTCTCCTACTACTATTCTTATTTAACTATCTCTGGGAAAAAGTAAGCTGACAGGTAGATTTTATAATAATTTTTCTCATTCAAAAATATATTCTATTAAAGAACTACATTCACCACTGTTTTTTAGTTAAAAGTCTGTCTCCAAGATTTTCTCGAAAGAAATGCTTTCCTGTTTTATCCTACCTTAAACATAGACGCATACAATAACTGTATAATTATGGATCAGTGAGTAAGCTGACTTCAGAGAAGTTCAACAAACCATTAAGCGCAGAAAGAGCAACTTAAGATAAAAAATTGGTTTGAAAGAATTTCAAGTATTTTAATCTATTTGTTAGCTGAAAGCTAACTGGATTCCATTTAGCTTAAGACACGAGTAATATGGTATTTACATTCTCACGTTAACTTGTTTGGAACATCTAGCCATTATTCTAGCAAAATAAAGGTTAAAAACCCTAATATAGCACATATTTCTATGACAGTGAAAAGTTCCACGAAGGAATATTTATATGCAAAAACTGATTATATGCTAAAGATGCAGTTCAGTTTTCACTAGTGTTATTTCAAAGACATGTCATTTAACCCTATATCCCTTTAGACCAGTTTTTTTCAACCTGGACACTACTGACATTTTCAGTTGGATAATTCTTTGTTGTGGGGACTGTCCTATGCATAGTAGGATATTCAGCAATATTCTTGGCCTCTACCAACTACCATCCAGTTGTGATAGGTACAGATGTCACCAGACACTGCTAAATATCCTCTGGGAGCAAACTCACCCCCTATTGAGAACTACCGCTTTAGAGTATATTGCCTTTCCTACCTTTTTCCTTCAATGGTTAATAAACTCTTATGTATCTGCTAAAATTCTGAAGGAAGTACACAGACTAATAAAACATTTTTTTAATTTAAGAAGGCCTAACTTATGGCATCATACTGACATCTACTGGCTTGGTACTAAACTGTACATTTGACATAAACTACATTAAAAAAAACCCTCTAAATTAAAATATGCATGCTATTTTGAGAAAGTAGAACAATTAAATGAAAGCAGTTTAACATCAAAACTATGTTTTATGTAAAGCCTAACATATATAATAACAATGATAATTATTACTTTCTTAGTTTTTGATGTACTGTCTTTTGGATGAATTTTATTTTTAATAAATGCTTTTAGAGAATGATAATTAGAAGGGATTTTAGGACAAGTAAAAAAAATGTGACTCAAAAACCTTGCAAAAATTAAGCAGCATGCTATTTATGATTTATACTAAAATTTCAAAGTGTTAAAAATTTTTTAAAAACTAATAATAATTCTATAAATAAAATTATAATTTCCTGGATTTTTAATAAAAGACATTTATAATTAAATACTACTGGCAATTAAATTGATGAACTTTATTGGGGTTAAAACTATAACAAAGTTCATCCTAAAACATTTTGCAATGCAAAATTATTTCACTCAAGGAGTGTTTAATAATTTGGATGCCAGGAATTACAAGCAATTCTCGAAAGCAAAGACTCTCACATTCATAAAACTTTATACATCATTTCAACTAACAGGTATTTATACTACTAAAATCAAACATGCATCACTTTCATTCTTTTATCATGATTTTATATATTACATTATTTAACACCATTCTTCATCACTACATTTTATCATACACTTGCACCATTCTCCTTGGATTTTTGATCTTTATCTTCATTCTTCACATTATCCTATAAAATATACAAAGAAACAGTGTATTTTATTAGATTCTCTTAAATGTATCTTTTAAAATAATAAACATCAGTAAATAGAGATACTCCAGACAGTTCATTTTAGCATATATGGAAAATTGACCCTGGGGGAACTATGAAAGAAATCTCTTTCAATTCTGTGCAGAGTGGCTTCTAGTATTTGAGAAAGTCATCAAAGTACTGAGAAATTAGATTCTTAGGAATAAGCGCAGTATATTCTTTGCAATGTACTTTTTTTCCTTCTTGTTCTCTGAGTGAGACCCAGGATGTAGAAGGTCTCTCAGTTACTAAAGTTAGTTTACAGTGGCACTGACTTACTAGATTTTTTTTGAAATAAAGAACACTAATAAACTAGTTTTGATAGTATCAAAGAGTTTCTCAACTCTACCCAACAATAAGTGGATTTAAAAAAAGAAGTGAATGGCATATCTTCTCAAGTTCAAATGCAATCTCTGATTCTGAAAGAAATACACATAAAACTTGCTTTTTAAGAAGTCTGCAAACATAAACCATGCTGATATCCCAAGTAAGTTCCAGGAAAATATCATCTTTGGGGAATTGCTTTTGGCTAATCTAACAATCTAATGAAGGACAGAAGGCTACCATCATTTTCTATTAGAAAAGCCAGGAAGAGCTTAATAATATTAAAATTGCCAGACGGAGACTTTTAAAAATGAAATAAACTAAGAAAATGTTTAAAGTATAAAACAGCTAACCTTCTTAAGAACAGTGTGAATTTCATCCATTACTGTGGATAAGTTTCTGATTGTCTTATTCAGTTGGTTTTCAAATTGCAAATTCATGTTTTCTGAAATCTTTAAGTTTTCTTGTAACTGACTAAAATCCTTTTTCACTTCTCTGAGTTCACCAGAGAGGCTTTTGTTGGAATTCTCCAAATTTAATATGGTTTTTTCATCCTCATCTGTTAAAAAAAAAAAAAAATTCACCAACTTACCCCTTAAAATTTCCAATTTAACTTGGGGGTTAAAAAATATTCAAAGCTAGGAGAATAAAAAGTGCCTATGATACCTTAAAATGGTGACATGCATCAATATCAATAGTTATAAAGCACACAGCAACACTCATTTCACTTAAATTAAGTTTTACCTAAGTATTACTACTAAACCGAGGTTCCATTTTTAGACAATTGTACAGACTAGGTAAGTAGCAGAAACTTGTGAAAACTAAGTTGAACTAGGCAAAGATAAAAAGAATGCAACAGAAAAACAATCAAACCTGAGAATGCACATAAAGATCTAAGATTAATTCTTCTAAAAGCTAAGCAATTTTACAATCTTTAACAGAAATGGTCAAAAGTGAAGTTACATTACGCATCTAGACTAAAACACAGGTTTAGATATTCACGTGAACAGGTATGTATATATATGTGTACATATAAATATCCCAATAGACTGTTAAAAGAACAAACATATCCAATGTGTTTCTTACCCGTCTTTTCCTCTAGTAACTGCAGCTTCTGTTCTACTTCAGCTCGTACTTTTTCACTCTTTTCCAGTTTTTGCAAGAGGCTTCCTACATCTACCATTGCACCATTGTACACAATAAGGCCAACATTTTCTTCTACGTCCTTAGATTCCTGTTTTACTGTTGGTGTTGGAAGCAACAACCTGTTTCCTATAATGTAAAAGGTAACATAAATAGTTTCTTCTTTAATTCATAACATAGTTATAAAATGGCAAGATCTTAAAGTAATATACTCAAACCTAGCATATCTTCCTGCAGTGCTTCAGACTCTTCATGGTTTTCCTCATCTTTTGAGGTGTCCGTTAATTTCCGGTAAAAGCAAGATTCACGGAGAACTACTTTATTAAGAAGCTTCTTTACCTGTTATGCAAGGAAGTAAATTAAAAAGATGAAAATAAGTTTTTGATTCTCCTTGAATAGCTGTGTTCTAATTTTCACAGAAGGTGAACAACAATGGCATCTGTTTTCTAAAGTATCTACTACCATGCAAGTAGAGCATTTATGCTTTTACCTGTCTTCTCTATAAACCTAAAATCCAAATTATTATTTGCAAAAATTTTTGCTAACATTGAAAGTCTAACATTTATAGGAACACTAACACGTACATTAAAATATACAAATAAAGATGTTTATCACAGCATAGTTTGTAATTCTAAAAAATGAAAACCACCCAGCAACTGGGACTATACCATGGAACACCATGCAATAATAAAAAGAATAAACTGAGTCTCTGTTTTCCTTGTAGAATGTCCATGATATATTATTAAATGAAAAAGTTATCAGTATATTCAGAATGATTTCAACTGTTGTTCATAAAACTGGAACTATCATATATATACATATATGAGTTGCTTATAAAAAGATCTGGAAGTTTAAGTATTAGCCCAGAGGAGTGGAACTAGAGGAAGAGGAGACTTTTAACTTTTTTTACTTTATTTATTTCAGTATTGCTTAACTGTATTACTTATAAGCCTGTACTGCTTTTATATTTCAAAAAGTCAAAGGTATTAAAAAGATAAAGTTACTTAAAAATGTTTTTCATTATAAATAGTCACAAGAAAGATTACCTGAGCCCGAGAAAGATGTAGTCCAAGAGTATAAAGTATTTCTTCCAAATCCTTTTCAAGAAGGTAACCACAATGGCTTTGATCAAAATAAACAAACGCCATTAACAGATCCCTGTTAATTGTGATCATCTGAGTCTTTTCTTTTTCCTAAAGAAAATGAAAAAGTTACAGTATATAATTTATATCCCCAAAAGTGAGATAATTAGACAATACCAAAATCTGAAAAGACCTTTGCCTCATCTTAGCTAAAAGGAGTTGGTCTGGTTTATGTGTATAGGGGAAAGAAATAAGACATACTGTTATTTGACAGAACCACAAATATCAAAATATAATGGACTGAATTTTGCTGAGTGCTAACATACAGCTATAAAAGGACCAATAAAGTTCATGATTGTGTTATGTTTAATAATTTTGTATTATATAAGAAATGGAAATTATCATATTATAAAGTATACAGCATTGTATAAACATGTCAATTCACTATCAAAAATGAAACGAATACAATATTATATGTCAAATATACCTCAAAAATATATACAGTATTTAATAAATACCTTATCTTTAGAGGGCCTCTCCTTTAGGTACCTATTAATATCTCTTTTGTCATCTCGTTTGTTTATTTCTTCCTCATCCCGATCTGTAAAATAAATACAACAGCAGCAAAACACTCATTAATACAGATAAGTTTTCAACTACTGTAGAGACTGAAAATACTTCTTTCTATTACTAATCAGTTTTTGTTATTTACTGACCAGCTGTTGTGAAAGATACAACAGCAAAGAAATATACAAATAAAAGTAGTTTGGATTTTATAAGAAACAATTATAAAGAATAACAAGAAGAAATTTATAGAGACTAGAGGGAGGAAAAAATTGACTCAATTGAATCAAATAAATAGACTTAATTCAATAAATATCTGGAGGAATTGGTTCCAAAAAAATGAATCAATTTTACACATAAAATTGAAAGTTATAACATAAATTTAAACAAAACAGAGCAAAGTACATTTTCTAAAAGACCAAAGGAAAATAGCCAATGTAGTAAAACTAGCTGCAGAATAAAACTAGATATAAGAACTGAAATGTTTTTAAGATAATTAAGACCTAAGAGTATTAATATCTAGATTTGCTAACACTAACATATGTGTCCCAGGATAAAAGGCAGGAAATTGGATAAATTATTCTAAGTAAGTAAATAAATAAAACAAAAACTAGTACAGTAAGGTAAGTCTGTAGCTGTGGAAGATAGGGCTTGAAATCTGTACTCTAGTAAGGAATCTCAGTAAAATTCAAACATCAAAAAGAATATTTGAATGATTTATACAACTCATGATACTTATTTTCTAGATTAGAATATTATCTTGTTATTATTTTTTAATAATATATAATGTACCTTATGCAAAATTCAAAATATACAAAAAGCAGTGTTAAAAAGTAAACTCCTTTCTCTTACCTACCCATAGGCTACCCACTTCTCTAAGACTCAGCTATCACCCTCATGTCAGCCACCATTACTAGCTTGAATATTACAGAATAAATCTGTTAATGGGTTGAATTGTTACCCCCTAAAATTCCTATGTTGAAGTTCTAAGCCCCTAGTACTTCAGAATGTTATCTTATTTTCATAAAGGTTCTATACAGAGATAATTACGTTAAAATGAGGTCACTAGAGTGAGCTTTAAAATCTAGTAACTGATGTCTTTACAGGGGAAATTTGGACACAGACATGCACACAGAGGATGATGTGAAGATCTGGAGAGAAGATGGCCATCTACAAGTTGAGAAGATTCGCCTGGAATAGACTCTTCATAGCCCTCAGAAGGAGCCAACCATGCTGACTCCTTGATCTCAGACTTAAGCTTTCAGCTTAAACAATAAATTTCTATTCCTTATCCAGTTACCCAGTTTGAGGTACTTTTCAGGGTAGCCCTAGTGAACAAATACATCATTCTTTCACAAATTATATGCAATTAAAGAGCTCTTTTGCAGTTATTTAATGACTTGTCAATAATTTCAAAAGAAATTTTGGTTCTAGAGGCTTCTTGGATCTCTCAAATGGATCTCTATCAAAAAGTCTGCAGTAACTAATGATTTGTTGGTAAACATGAGATACAGTAAACACTAGGAGTTAGATAGTCCTTGAGATACTACAAAGCATATTCATAGATATTTCACAATATAGTCCCTTCTTGGACATCCATAATATACACAAGTAGCTAAGAAATCCTGTGGTAAAACATGTAGACCTTTGCTTTAGCCCAACTTTTCCCAATTTATTTGACCCCAGCATACTTTATCAACTTTAACATTTGTTAATATTTTGGGACACTCTGGGAAAGACTGCTTTATGTGAGAAGTTGTATACGAATAGTAACAATATAGAGAAAACTTTATATTAAATACAATATACATGCTAAAACACACACGAATCTTGATAACATGCTAAGTGAAAAGTAGCCAGTCAAAAGAGATCACATACTGCATGATCCCATTTATACAAAATGTCCAGAATATCTATAGAGACAGAAAAGTGACTAATGGTTGCTGAGGGCTGCAGAGATGGGGAGAAATGGGAGTGACTACTAATGAGTACACAGTTTCTTTCTGAGGTAATGATAATGTTCTAAAATTGATTGTGGTAATGGTTGTATAACTCTGTGGATAAATTAAAAACCAGTAAGTTGCAAACTTTTAAGTGGACAGTATGTGAATTATATCCCAAGGTGTTACTTAGAAAACAAATCAGGCAAATGTTCTAAAACTTGACTGTAGTGATGGTTTCACAATCGTATGAAGTAACTAGGAATTATTAAATTGTTAAATTATTAAATTAAATCATAAACACTTAAAATGGGTGAGTGTGTGGTATGTACTGGAACCTCAATAAACTGTTTTAAAAAACAGAACATGTCCTTTGAACCTAATTATTTCTCATATTTATATTACATATATAATACAGTATAGAGTGGTTCAGCTGACTTAATTGTATTATCTTGGGTAAATTGATTTACTGCTAAAAGCTTCAGTTTCTTCACTTATAAAAAGGAAAAAATATGCTCTGAGTGTAACTGTGAGGATTAAACTATAATTTTTTTGAAGGGGGTAATCAGGTTTACTTATTTATTTCATTCATTTTTGTTTTTTTTAATGGCGGTATTGAGGATTGAACCCAGGGCCCTCGTGCATGCTAAGCATACACTCTACCACTGAGCTCTATCCTCCGTCTCTTAAACAATGTAATTTTTATCAAGAGTGAACCATTTACTCCACAATGGTTAAGTCCCTTTTCCTTTCATTTATTCATATTTTATAGACAGGACCCACCTTATTTTGAATATTTAACTTGAATGGTTAAACTCACTTTCAAAACTCTCTCTCCTGGAACCTACATGCTTAAAGTGTTTTTTTTAAAAATCCAAGTAGTCTTTGCTCATCTTGGTAAATAAATAAATCCCACCAAAGATATACTAAAATTATGGTTGTGATCATGTTCTTTTATTTTTTTCCCCACGTACATACACCTCTGTGTATGAGATACATTTAAAAGAACATGCTGTCTACATCTACAAAATCTATTTTGTTATCTTTTTCCATGTCACTTTCCTTCAACTTCTTTTTTAATGACTGCACAGAATTACATGTCTATATCAAAATGCATTTAAGTTAATTCCCTATTACTGAATATTAAGATTGATTCTAATTTTTTGTTTTATAAACAATTATGAAATGGACAGCTGTATTGGTATTTCAAAGGCTATGGTTAATTCATTATTTCCAAATTTCTGTCCAGAAAAAGTGCAACAATTTAAACTGACCCCCAAGAGTGAAGGTAATCTTTTCTTTACCCTTGTTAAATTGATGTTACCTTTTGTTAAAAACTTAATTTATATCAATTTGACAGTTAAAAATTAGACTCTTACTGTTATTTGATCCTCTGATTACTAAGAATATTCAATACCATTTTAAACAGTAACTGGTGTTATGTTTTGTTTTGTTTTTTAAACCACCAATTCTACTTTTCCATGGGTAAAAAAGTGGTCTTTTGGAAACTTGACTGGATAATGAGATATAAATTATGGAGGGAAAATTTAACATAATCAAGCAGCAATTAAAAAAACCAGGGAAACCAAAAAAAATCCCCAAACTATAATCCTACCACCTTATTTGGCTTTGCAGTTTATGATATTAGTTAACAAATATCCATTAAGAGCCTATTTGGATATTTAGACTGGTCTAGGAACCTGCAATATACATCAGAAAAGAAAACAGAAAAAAAGATTATTTCTTACTAAGAGCTCATATTCAAGTGGAAAGCAGACAGACAATAAGTATACTAAGTAAACAGTAGAGTAGACCAGGTTATAAGTTCAACAAGTAGAACAAGATAGAGGGATCAGGGAGGTAGGGGATTGCAATTGTAAATAGGGTGCAGAGTAGGCCTCACTGAGAAAGTGACAGCTGAACAAAGACTTAAAGTGTTGAGAGAGTCAGGAAGGTGGATCTTCAGGAAAGAGCTGCAGGTAAAAGGAATTACCAATGCAAAGATCCTAACATAGGAGTATATGTAATAGGTTCAAGGAGGTCCTGGTGACAGGTGCAATGAGCAAGTGGAAAGAGTAGTAAGAGATCAAATTAGAGACTTGATGTGGTAGGGTCTTCTAGGTCACCGTAAACACTTTGGTTTTTTCATAGAGGAAAATGGAGAGTCACTGTAAGAATGTGAATAAATAAAATGACTTAAATTTCACAAGGGTTATTCTGGCAACTGTACTGAAAAGAGACTTTAGAGGAAAGGGATAGGCAGGGAGACCAGTTAGGATGCTGTTATAATAACATAGACAACAACATGAGTTAGATTAGGGTTAGATCAGTGAAGCTGGTGAGAAATGGTCTGATTCTGAAAATATTTTGAAGACAGAGGCAACGACTTTTGATAGATTGGAAATGGAATATGACCAAAGGAGGGAAAAAAGGAGTCAAAGATGACTCCTGGATTTTAGCTTGAGCAACTACCAGGATGGAATTGCCATCAAATGAGCTGGGGAAGGCCGAGGGTAGAGGGTTTTGTTTTTTGTTTTGGTAAAGAGAAAAAGCAGGAATTCAATTTTAGACATGTTTGTTTTGAAATGTCAGTTAACTTAAGTGGAAGTCAAATACAGATAATATGGGAGAATAGAAGTCTGACTTGAGGTATACATTTGAAACTTGTCAGTATACACAGATAGTATTCAAAGCTGGGAGAATGGATGAGAACACCATCAAAGAAGTAGAAAAAGAATAAAGAAAGACAACTAAGGGATGAAAGCTAGGATACTCTCACACTGACAAAATAATGAGAACACTGTCTAGTGATTTAATTAAAGCAATGATAAAACTACACTAGGAGGAGAGGGGAGAGAAAAATGAGACTAAAAATGACTCATCTTCATTGAGCAAAGCAGGTAATGAAGATGAAAGAAATACTGATAAATGCGTATCATATTATCGATTCTGAGGTTAATAGAACAATTAAGAATACATATTAGATAGCATTAACAGATGGTTTATGACATTATTTTTAATTTTCTTAGGTGTGATTATGGAATTGTGGTTAAGAGAATGTCTTTTCTTGGGCAAGTTGAAGAATTCCTATTTTCAAATGGATCAGAAACAGACAGACAACACAAACAAGACAAAATATTAACACCTGAATCAACTGTTGGATACAGTGTGTTCAATGTACTATTCTTTCAACTTCTTTTATAAAGTTTGAATATTTTCGTCAAACAGAAGAAAAATAAAATGTTATGGAAACAGAAAATGTAGAGGCAAACAAAAATACCCTAAGTAAAAAAAAAAAAAAAACCAAACCAAACAACAAAACTAACTATAATATCTCAAAGAATAAGTAATAAATAAAAACTTAACTT